CATTTAATAATTTGCCAAGTCATATAAAAAGCTGTGATTCATTAAATTCATTCAAAAGAAAATGTAGTGAATATATTTCAAGTAATTGTCATCAATAATTCGTCTTGTTTTCTAGTTTCTTGTTTTTAAAATGTGACTTGTCTCTAATTTTATATATATTTTTCATTGTTTTGTATTTTATAAGTGACTGACTGTACTATGAAGAGCATTATTTGCTAATAAAGAGTAATATTAATAAACTGTTTTACTGGTTTCTTAATATTCCTTTTGAAGGTCGACGCACTCCTGTATGAGAAAAAACGTAAATTCTACTTCCTGAGAAACCACCTTGTCATTACAGAAAAAAAAATTAACAATATTTTTGTGAAATAACATTGCCTTGTACCTCGCTCAGAAATTCTATTCTTCAAATATGGATGCTTCAATTTGTATTATTGATACAGCATTTTTTTTTGTACATTCATTCATAAACATATAATTGACAAAATAATAAAAACAAAAAGTATGTATATAAAGACAAAAATTTAAAAATATAAAGATGGACTTTAAAGATAAAAAAATAATAATGACATAAAATAAAGTTCCACAACTACATGTTGGTGTAACTATTGTTTGATAGCTTCAACATGGTAAAATTATACTCAATCAGCCTACTTTCTAAACAGTTATCTGCATGTTAGAATACAATTTAAAGCTTTTTTGAATTCAGTCTCACAGCATGATTTTAAGATTCCACAAATTGGTTTTTGAACTCACCTTCAAACTCCATAATTTGATCGTCCAATCTATCGATGATGTCAAAAACATGTGCGAGAAGTCAATTCCTCCTTGCACCCCATTCACACTAATACCAGTCACCGGACCTTGATGTCCATCGTACACATCAGTTATGCCAGCTTTGGCGCCATGCCTGCACGCTGAATACGCCGATCCATCTTCGCTGCCTACTACAAAATTATTAACATCGGAATGTGGAAAATCTAAAGAAGTCACCGCAACTGGTTTAGACTGCATTCGGTGCAGGTCGAGAATTTCTTGAGGTTGACCTAACATATCGAGAGACCAAGAGCACAGCCGACCGTCTGTTGATATACTTATCAAATTGTGTGCATTTTGAGTACCCACCACATTCATGCAGTATACGGGATGCTGAAAATTGGGGGAAAAAACGGTTACTTATTTTCATTGCCAGTTGCAAAATAAATAATGTGAAATTCATACTAATTCTCTAATTTCATATGAGAGAGAGAGAGAGAGAGAGAGAGAAATATTATTTATTTTCTGAAGAACAGAAATTCTTATTGGTCTATGAAATACAACATGAACAAGTAAACAAACAATGGGTGATGTTCATCAATAACTTTATAAATATTTTCAACGAATGTTTTCCAATAAAGTACATACATTTTCGTAAATACTCGAATTCTCAAATAAAGGAATGCAAAAGTAGGTTAGATACATTACTATGTCTATCCAAAACGAATGGAAGTATCAAATATGAATACTTGAAAACAAAAACTGAGTATGATAAGTTGTTAATATCGTCAAAACAGGAAAATTATAAAGAGCGTATAAAAAATTCTGATAACAAAATGTATGTGGAGTATCTGCAACGAAATTACCGGC